TTTTTCTGGCAGACATATTCAATATTTTATCATCATTTTTTTTCTACTTAGTTATCAAATCATTTTGTAATTGTAGTTTCTATTTTGTTGTGTTCCTTTTTAAGCAATAAAATATATATAACTAAGGTGTAATATTCAATTCAAGCATATGGAACCAACATCGATTCATTTTTGAAACAAAGCAAAATCATAAGCTTATACAACTTTCACTTTTTCATACATACTAATTATTTTTTAGCTATAGCATCGTTGGAATTCTAATAACCAGAGTCATTTATAATGGAAAATCAACTCGCGATATACTAGTACATCTTATATTCAATATAGAAATTAGGGCTGAAAAACAATGAGAAAACCCTATTTCAAAATAGTTAGAATAATATTTTATCAATATTTCAAAATTAAAAAAAAAATACATTTGATTCTTTTTTTTTACAATATTTTATATTAAAAATAGTGCAAAATTGGAATTTATATCAGGTAGATAAATTGTGAAAAAAAAGATATCTATTGTTATCGTGTAACTAAAATTTGCTGATGACTTGTGCCATCTATCGAAATAATTATCAAATAATCTGCGATTTTTAAAATTATTTAAAATTGGTCAAATACCATTTTTTGATTAATCAAGAAAAACTAATTTGCATACGTAAAAATATAATGCGAGAGGTCTACATATATATTTTTTAAAAAGTGATAAAAAAATAAAATAAAATTTTAAACATGTAAATTTAGGCTTAGCTGGGTTGATGGGAGAATTCCGTAATGTTTGAGAAAGGTCTAATGAAAAATTCCATAACAATCTTGCCGCGTTAGCAAGGGCGTCTGACAGACCAAAATTTGGCGTCATTTAATAAACTCCCGCCAAAATTGCATTCCAGCAGACGATGCTGCCTTCACTTTATTACCGGGGCAGAAGACCTACACGATCCCAATAAAATTCTCCTTTACAAAACCAGAAAAATATCTGGCACCATCAGAAAAACTACCGCAGCACACGATGACAGCCGTTGGTCAGGGGAAAAAATCGATGCAGACGATCTTTATTCGCTTTCGTCTGACCATAAATTCTTTGTTCAAAACATTCGAATTCGATTTTTTAAACTGTGAAAATAAACTCGTTGCTTATAGTGTCGCGAATTAAAATAATCAAATAGGCTTACGAATTACTTTAAATATTTATTTAATTAGTTATACGAGATATTTTAGGTAAAAAATAAAAGTTACTATGTACATGAGTCAAATCGACCCAGCAGTTAGAGCAAGAGGGGAGAGCTGAGTTTTCCCCCTTCCACTGGGAAAACCAACGATATAAACTCTGAGAGAAGAATTACAAAAACAATAACAAGACTAAGAACGAAAGGCTAAAAAGGAATAACAATACACGCAGATGGCACAAGAACCTACAGGACATGCAACAACTGTCCTGGTATGGAACTAACACCTACCCACATATTCTCATGTCCAGAAATAGCCGCAGCCTTGCACAAAATTGACATGGACCCAGAGCAGCAGCTTTAGACACCCAAGATAGAGGACATTGCTGTGATAGACATGTATGGAAACATCTGAGGCTCTTCATTGAACACGACAACAACAACAACAACTTGTAAAGGCTGGAGATTTGCGTGCTGTCTCTAGAATGAGGTGTGAAATAGAAGCCGCACATGTGGGCTATGAAACATCTTTGGAGAATGTGCAGGAACAATGGGGATCACATGGGCTTAGTCATGCAGACAATTCTCTACTGTGACGTCACGCGCCCAATTCAGCCAATTGAGGGGCTCGATTGGTGCTGGCCACTTCCTGGGAGCACAGCCGGGTGAAGGTCTTCTGGGAACGGCTCGTTGTTGTTGGATGTATTTGTTGGAGGTTTTGCTGAAGAACATGTGGGCTAACAAGCCAATTTTTGAGGTTTTGTTGAAGAACATGAGGGCGAACTAGCCAATTTTTGAGGATTTGTTGAACAACATGTGGGCGAACTAGCCAAGGTTTGAGGTTTTGTTGAACAACACGAGGTCGAACAAGCCAATGTTTGAGGTTTTGTTGAACAACATGAGAGCGAACAAGCCAATGTTTGAGGTTTTGTTGAACAACATGTGGGCTAACAAGCCAATGTTTGAGGTTTTCTTGAACAACATGTGGGCGAACAAGACAAATGTTTGAGGTTTTGTTGAAAAATATGAGTAAGCCAATGTTTCTTACTGGAAATCATGGGGTTGGGACTCAGGGTCTCAATTACCTATCAAAGAACATTGGGGTGAGGAAGTCAGTTTCAATGACTTGATAAAACATATGAAAGTGAGGGAGTTAACGTTTCGATTTCTTATTCTAAAAAATGAAAGGTGAGAGAGTTAGGCAAAGTATCAATAACTGAAGTTGAGGAAAGCTATAAAGAGTGTCATTTTCCATCTAAAAAATAAGAATGAGGAAATCAAAGTCTAATTTGGTTTTACTAGGAAATTAGAATGAACTAGTAAAAATCTCAATTCCTCATTAAAAATGATAATAAGATAGTCATAGTCTGTATTCATATCTTTATAAAATGTATGAATAATATAATCAAAATCTCAATTTCTTACTTTAAAATGAGAATGAACTAGTCAAAAATATCAAAATATCACTTAAAACTGAGAATAGGCTAATCAAAATCTCGATTTCTAAATTAAGCAAATGTGAAAACTAGTCAAAATCTCAATTCCTCACTTAAAAGTAAAAATAGACAATTCAAATTCTCAATGTCTTACTTAAAGATAAAAATGAACTGGTCAAAAATATCAAAATTTAACTTGAAACTGAGAATAGGCTAATCAAAATCTCGATTTCTAACTTAAACGAATGTGTAAACTAGTCAAAGTATCAAAATTTCTCACTTAAAAGTAAAAATAGACAAGTCAAATCTCAATTCCTCACTTAAAAGTAAAAATAGACAAGTCAAAATTTCAATGTCTTACTTAAAGATAAAAATGAACTAGTTAAAGATCATAATTTCTTACTTAAAACTGAGAAGTGAGATAATCAAAATCTTAATTTCTAACTTCAAAAAATTGTGTGAATGAGCAAGCCAAACTCTCAATATCTTACTAGAGAAACATGTCGTAATTTAGACTTAATTTTGCGAGAGGTTACAATAAACAAGTCACAAGGTATCACCTTATTTGAACATGAAATACATATAAGCAAACAGATCAAAATTTATAAACATAGTGTTGGCAGGAATTTGAAAAAGCGAGATTCTACTTTCTTATAAAATAAACTTCAAGTGTGTGTGAAGATCGTGTTGGAGCATGACGGTAAAAAACAGGTCAAAGTTTACCACTTGTTAAAACATGAAGGGACAGGTTTAGCTTCTTGTTAAAGAAACGAGGAGAAACCTTGGAGCCGTTTGAAGTGGTTTGTGATTTTTACATTTCTCTCACTACAATATAGGATGAACAATTCTGTCTCATGACTTTTATTCAAACAACAACAAAAAGGCTTTTATTAGGGCCCATTGCCCTATATGGATTCGCCATACAACAACAAAATAATACAGCAATTTTTTTCTCTCTTTCCCCATGTGCATGTGAGATTTTGTTTGAAAAGGGATTTATTTACATATCTGTTCTAAAACTTTCCTCACTATCTCTTTTGTGTATGAATATATTTACAATTGATCTGTAGAAATGATAGAATTCTATTGCTATATTTTTCTTTTCTGAAATAGTTCTCAGCGTCTTCAGTGAGTTGCTAAATCTCCAGAAGGTGTTTTTAAGAGTTTTTTCTCTTTCTTCACCTAAATATTTGGATTCTATGATATAGTGAGAGATTTCATCAGATATCATATTTCCACAAATACTGCAGTGAATGTTTTCCCTGATGATAAGAAAATGACTTTCATCACTTTTATTCATCAATTTTTAAAAAATATATATCAAGTCACAAAAGGCGATCTATTGAATATGTTTATATAAAAAAGACGTATCTAAATCTGCGAAAGAAAAAAATATTTTTCTTAAAATATTTCGAAAGATTTCTCCTTCTTTAATCAATTTACTGTTTATTGTATACCTAACACTAGGTACAATGTACATAACAACCACGAACGCGTTCCGGGCTGTTGGCCCTCGTCAGCGTGGTGCACATTGTACCTCTACGACCAAATATTTGGTCGCAGAGGCTTTCCTAGAAACTAAGAAATGGGTTTGTGGATGGCTTTTCTTGATTTAACAAGAAAATGGGTTGGTAAAATATCAGAGAACAGGTTGAATCAACGTTTATTTGTTTTCTGTTCCATTAGATGGTGCTCTGCCATCTAAAAAGCACATGTGCTAGTGATCAGGATATGCCTTCTATGTACAATGTACCCAACGCCACCGCTGCTAGAGAGAAAATGCAACGATTCCCTTGGAAAATTGGAAGAAGCGGATAATTACACATGCCTAGAAGAGAAACAAGGCTCCTTCAATAAAACTAAGGCCGAGAAAGGGGCAGTTTGCCCCCTATTCTCCCAGGAAAGGAATTCTCTAATGGTACACTGGGGAATAGGGTCGGTGTAAGATCGTCTACCCACCAAACGCCGATTCTATTAGCTCCTTCTTCCATTTGTCAGCCCAACAAGAATGGTAAAACCAATTAGTTCTTTCTGATTAAGACACCATTTTCTCTCAGTTTGTTTCTTTACTATTTATATTGATTTAAACAAAACAAATTTGATTTACAAGATTGTCCCAAAAGTTCGTTAATACTTGCAAAAAAATTGAAATACCAATATAATTCGCCGTTATGTATAATGTCTTTGTATTATGTATAAAGTAATTGTATTATTTATTATATTATGTATTCGCCGTAATAATATAATTCGCCGTTATGTATAACTAGCCGAATGACCTGGTCAACGCCCGGGTTTTACCTGATTAAATGCTTTTATTCAAATACTATTCGTTACAATTAAAAATTGGCGCCGTGGATGTCATTCTTGTATAATATATAAATGAGTTTTAAAAATTGTAAAAAAAAAAAGCATCGGCCGGGAATCGAACCCGGGCTGTCTGCGTGGCAGGCGAGCATTCTACCACTGAACCACCGATGGTTATAAAAATTGGCCATATTTGGGTATTTATTCCATTCACAAAAGCAAATGGTGACAGAATTGATTAAGAATTGCTTGATGACTCTGATACTTGTATATTTTAATGTCTTTGTATTATATATAAAGTAATTGTATTATGTATTCGCCGTAATAATATTATTCGCCGTTATGTATAATGTCTTTGTATTATGTATAAAGCAATTGTATTATGTATTATATTACACTGTATATAACACTATGCGGCGCTGAGTTTGTGTATACAAAAATGTAATGCCTTGATAAAGGTTGGCGTTCAGCCAACCAAAATATTGGCAAGATAAATCTTTTGTTAAATCCAATATATACCTTTTTTACTATCTAATGGTTTAAGTGTGGATTGCTCTATTTTAATAATTTAATATTATGTATTGGCCGTAATAATAAGTAATAAGTAAGTAAGTAATAAGTAAAACACGAACTTTTGGGACAACCTTAGATATATACCTTTGGACAACTTTGAGAATAATATTGGAAATAAATCTTTTGATATTATATCACAATCATTTTTATAGGTTCTAAAATACTTTTATGATCTATTTAAAAATTGAAATAAAAAGATATCCTTAAACATGTTACGTGTCTTACCTTATAAAATAGGGGAGAATATAAATAAATAGTATTTTAGTATAAAACAAACAATAAAATTATTATTTTTTTTAAATTATATATTTCGATAAAATATATTTTAGTGATATACAAGAAACTTAGTCCTGGAATCTTTATTTATTTTATAATATATTTGATATGTTTTTTTGTAAATTTTTAAATATGTCTTATATGAAAATATAGGATAAAAACTTTTTCCAGTGAAACAAAATTATATTGAATGACTGTGTGCCAAAATATGCACCTTTTCCTTTAAATATATATATATTTATTTAATATTATTTATCAATAGATTATACTTATAACAACAATAACAAAAAGCTTTATTAAGACCTTTTAGTCTTATACAGATTCTCCAAGCAGAAATGTAGGATACATTTAGGAAAAACAGTAATAGTACTTTGATGGTAATGTAATGTTTATATACAGTAAAAATTCTATAAAAACAATCAAGCTAATAGATTAGTCTGGGTAAATTGGAGGAAAATAAATTTTTATACTTATAACTTATAGATATATAAGAAATAATATATTTTTAAGGGAATATATTTTCCATTATATAATTAACATAATTGAATAAATAAAAATATTATAGAGTATTGCGTATATAAATATTTCTCTATTATAATTGTTTTTATTATAAAAGGTAAGCTATTATACACATAAAACAAACGTTTTGTTTATCTTTTAAATTGGGTTTAACTTCCTCCATAACAATTATATTTCAGACTAATTCCCAAATGACTTTATTACATTTATGTTATTGCCTAATGGTACGTAAAAGAAAACCGAAAAGTAAACACCAATTTAAATATTTGAATATATAATGAAATTATATATCTTAAACGATATATTTTATATACTATTCATTTATTTAAAAAATACCATGTATATCTACGAAAACATTAAAAATATCTATAAAAATAAATTAGGGATGAATATTTTTTTAAAAAACGAGGTTTTTATTTTATAAAAATTCTCAAAGCAATTTCGCAAACGACGCTTAATTTATAAAATGGCGGGCTTTTAATAAAAGGCAGACGATATCAATAAAGATCGTGTGCAACGATAGGAATTGCAATGCAGCGATTGGACAAGGCAGAATCAGCAGAAGAGGCCCTAGAGAGCGATTGTCAGATGATGGAGACCCAGAACTATCCCATAAATATTTATCCGTCCCATAAATTGAAGCCCATCTGTCTTACAAGCCAGAATTTTTCTGCAAACAGTAATTTTCTGTGAAAATAAGTTATTTTATCTGGTCCCCCTATTCTAACTCTTACAGCCCATAAATTCACTAACGATTTCGATGTTACATTTTCATGTCACTTTCTGAAATCAGACGAATTTATTAAATAGTTCCTTAATTTGTTTTAATTTGACATGGAATCTTGTGTGTGTTAACAACTTCTAAATGATTATCTCTTAATTAGAGAGTAGAATCTCACTCAAATTGTCTCACTGATTTTCTGCCATTTTCAACGAATAGGGACATTATATATTAGTCATCTCCCGGTTTACCGTGTTGCGGATATAACGGGGTCTTCTATGCCCAAACAAACCGACTTGAAAGAATCATTGTAGATCTATATTTTTGAAAATTTTATGGATTTTTATTATGAAATTCGATATACCGTGTTTATCTCCTTTAACCGCTAAATAGAGAATCATCTGTATATAAGCTATGAGACGAAGATTAAGAAAATATCTCAGTTTATTGTATCATATAAAATATATATGGAAATTCTCAGAGTAAGCAATAAAAAGAGAGCACTCTGTATATTAGCATGGGAAGTATGCAACGCAATTCCTTTTCAATCATAAAAGACGAAATTTTATAAATAGTGAATTTAAGTTCAAAAAGATTTGAGAATGTTTAGCGCTCATTAGTGGTAAACCTCGACTTCGAAATTTACCCATATACCTCTACAACTATTAAACAACAAGAATTATAGCGATCTTTTAGAATACATTTATCATTAGAATACGTTTATCATTACTCTTCACAATTCACCCTTTCACACCTCATCCTTAAGATAAGAAATAATCGTTATTTCTCCTTGAAATAAATGTTGATTTTTCGTTGAAAAGAAACACATGCAGGATAACTTTCAAATGTCGTTTTACAATCACCAGCCGCATTATATTGTATTATTTACGAACGGAAAAATATGTCCAGGGTAGCCTAGTGGACATGGCATCTGCCCGATAAGCGGAACAATGTGGGTTCGATTTCCATCCCTGGACACTTTTATTTTTCCGTTTATCATTACTCTTTACAATTCATCCTTTCATACCTCATCCTTAAGGTTAGAAATAATCGTTATTTCTCCTTGAAATAAATGTTGATTTTTCGTTGAAAAGAAACACATGCGGGATAATTTTCAAATATCGTTTTACAATCACAAGCCGCATTATATTATATTGTAATACATTTGCCTTCTGGCCAGCTCATAAGTAGACCTTACTGATATAAAAAGGTAAATCAAGAGAAAGAAGAGACCGAATTGATTGCAAAAAAGGTAACCGAGCAGAAAGGGATGTTGAGAGACAAAGGACGATCTATCGATGTAAGAAGCGTGGAACATGCATTGGCCACGGTCGGATTGGACTCCAGCATTCATTCTGACACTTTTTGTCACACATCTTCACTCTCTGTGGATGGATTCAGGTGTCAATATCATTTTTAAATCTAAATGGAACTTTTTTTTGTTCGCTTGGGCAATCATTTGTCGACATTTAAGTTTAACTCTTTGTGTCAATGTGATCTACTTGCTTAGACAGTTTATCTGTAAATTGCTTTTCGGCTATTGATGTAAATGGACTTAAGAGTTACGCAGACGTATAAAAATAATTAAATTGTGTATATATTTATTTATTTATTGGGTTTTGACCAGGACTAGAGTGAACACATTCAGTCGAGATATATGTAAATTTTGATTATTGTTATTTTGCTTATTAAATAATTTATTAGAAATAGTATAAACACATTTTATTTTAAACAAAAAAAAATGTGTTTATACTATTTCTAATAAATTATTTAATGAGCAAAATAACAGCTATTTGACTTTTTTTTAGCATCGTCCTTTGGTATATATCTACTTGTGTGTGTTGTTTAGGTATAATCTACTCATGTGGGACTTTTCTGTTATCTTTAGTGCATTGTGTCAGGTATATCGTTGTAGTTATTTGAAGTTTTTTTTTGTCTGAGTAATCATTCTATATACAGTTACGAGCGTCATGCGTGGCCTCTGTCACGGTTTGCTTTTTTTTTTTTTTTGGAATGACGCCCTCCTATTGGTCGGCTATGATCACGCCACCTTTGCCCCCCCCCCCCCCCCCCCCCCCATTTCTGTAACTATTGTGTTGGAGCGGGTCGCTCCTTAAATAAATGCATATATTAGTTAATAACCAAATGGAATCCTCTCTTTCTTTTTCCCAGTAAGAGACGCCTACGGAAGCCAACAGTACATAGACAGATAAAGCACATAGGCTATAGTTATTAACTAAAATATGCATTTATTTAAGGCGCCAATTTATAATTGTAACAAATAGTATTTGAATCTAAACATTCAATCGGGTAAAACACGGGCGTTGCCCGGGTCATTCGGCTAGTTAGCTATATATGCGAGAGATAGTTCCCCAGAATATTCGAATAAGCAAAAATTAGGGGAAAGAGTTTCTTTATTTTGAGATTTTGCAAGATTTCAAGCAAATTTTGCTCTTCAACTAGTAAATCCAAAAAACAAATGAAGAGAGTTCTTATCAAGCATGGCTAAGACTACTTTACAGCTAAAAATATGTTGAAGTATATACGTCTATCTATATAGATATATATCTTTCTTGTATGTAAATATGTGTTTGTTTACTTAAATGCCTAACTGAATATTCGCTGTGAATATAATAATTCAGAATTTTATTATCGACAAATCATTTTAAATTAAAGGAATTATTGCGAAGCATAGAAGAACAAGGATACATATTAAATTATAATTAAACCTGTGATTTTTTTTTCTTGAAATTCTGTCAGCTTTATGTGGGATGGAAGCTTCCAATGAAGATAATAATGATTAATAAGTACTTTTAGAGAGTATAGCGCCTCTATACACCAAATAAACAACAGTAACAAAAAGTATTTTCATTAAGGACACTCTTCCCATATAGATTTCTCCCAGATGGTTTATCTATAGAAAGTGGAGATTAAAATCGACCTTTTTCTTCAAGTTATATTCAACATCTGTCTTGCGCCTATTGCCTGTGCTTTTTCCAGAACTTTTTTAAAGCTTATGCATCGAATTTGACTTTTTACTACTTTTTCTATTAGAAAATATGGCGACTTGTTTTTATAACCAATC